CTATACCTGGGTTGGGAAGATCCCCTGGAGAAGGGAACGGCTACCCACTGCAGTATTCTGGCTTGGAGAATTCCATGAACCATATGGCCCATGGGGTAGCAAAGAGTCGGACACGACTGAGCAACTTTCACTTCACTTCACCAGCTTCAATTCCCAATCAAGTGAATGAGCCATCTGCTGCCAGCCAAACCATTTGATGACCATTGCCACAACCAACATCTGATCACAACAGCACAACACACACCCCCAAAAACAGCTGCCTGTCAAGCCATTTCCAAATTCCTGAGACACAAAAATATGAGCAAATAAAAAGGTGATTTTTTTCCCGACACCATTACGTTTTGGGATAATTAGTTATGTGAAACATTGCTAACAGTCTCCAAACTTCCAACAGATAATAACATTTTGTAACTGTCTTTCAATTGACAAAGTGCAATCACATCATCTCAATTAATTTTTATAAATATCATGTGAAACAGGTATAATAATCACACACTGCAATGACCGGAACGATTAACATCACAATTAGGATTCAGATCCGTCTCATCTTATTCCAATGACCTTCAGTGTTGTGCTGACTCCCAAACAAGGTGATATATTTTAAATGGTTAAAAAATTTATTTATTCAAAAATGCTAGATGGTATTGAAAAGACTAACAGCAGTGTTCCTTTGCTTGATATTTCCAGATGGACTGTCTCTCCATATATTTGTGTATTTTTTTAATTAAAAAAATAATAAAGCAATTCTTTCAAAGTCTAGATGACAGCCAATTCTTGCATTTCTTTATATTTGTAAGTAACAAGATGATTTCTATGCAATTTTACCCTCACCATTATATAGAACAGATCAATTTTCAGGAAATGAAATAAAAATGAATTTTAACCATGGATGGAAAGACTTGTATTTCATAACAACTCTCTGGATTTCATATTTTTAATCACACATTGAGAATTGATTGATTGGGGTCCTTAAATTTAGAATTTGCTTACTCCTAAAAGAGTTTGCCAAATCTGGCGTGTCATCTAGGTATTTTGAATGCCCTTGTGTTAATTTTTTATAATGGAGAAATCAACAAAAACACATTTACTTTTTCTTATTAAGGGCACTAATGTGATACAAATAAGTGTACAACATGCTTCCAGCCTTACAAAAGCTTACAGTCTTGTTGGGGCTATTTAGATATAAATTTTTTTTTAATTTTTATTAGTTGGAGGCTAATTACTTTACATCATTATAGTAGTTTTTGTTATACATTGAAATGAATTAGCCATGGATTTACATGTATTCCCCATCCCAGTCCCCCCTCCCACCTCCCTCTCCACCCGATCCCTCTGGGTCTTCCCAGTGCACCAGGCCCGAGCACTTGTCTCATGTACCCAACCTGGGCTGGGATATAAATTTGTATGATGCAGAAGAAAGCATATTGGATTAGGAATATACTTCCTCACATATCTAAAAAGGGTACTATAAATATGAAGCATAAACATGCCTTATAATTCACAAAACACAAGCAACTATGATATAAAATATGTGCAGATTAAAACAAACATTTTATCCAAAATGGTGATTGGAGCCCATGATATTTCTGCTCTGTTTTTGGAAAGTATTAAGTTATATTTTACTGGCTGATTCCAAAAGGAAACAGCCCATTGCTGATTACTAACCCCTTCTGATTACATATACCACACAAGAAGAAAACACAAAACCAGGTTTACTAGGAATTGTAATCAAGATAGACATTAGTGAGATTCCAGGAATTCACCTGAAGTTCAGTTCAGTTAGGTTGCTCAGTCATGTTAGATTCTTTGCAACCCCATGGACTGCAGCACACTAGGCTTCCCTGTCCATCACCAACTCTTGGGGTTTACTCAAACTCATGTCCATCAACTCAGTGATGCCATCCAACCATCTCATCCTCTGTTGTCCCCTCCTCCTCCCACCTTCAATCTTTCCCAGCATCAGGGTCTTATCAAATGAGTCAGTTCTTCACATCAGGTGGCCAAACTATTAGAGCTTCAGCTCAGCATCAGTCCTTCTAATGAACATTCAGGACTGATCTCTTTTAGGATGGACTGGTTGGATCTCCTTGCAGTCCAAGGGACTCTCAAGAGTCTTATCCAACACCACAGTTCAAAAGCAGCAATTCTTCAGTGCTCAGCTTTCTTTATGATCCAACTCTCACATCCATACATGACTACTGGAAAAACCATAGCTTTGACTACAGAACTTTGTTGGCAAAGTAATGTCTCTGCTTTGTAATATGCTGTCTAGGTTGGTCATAGCTTTTCTTCCAAGGAACAAGTGTCTTCTAATTTCATGGCTGCAGTCACCATCTGCACTCATTTTGGAGCCCAAAAAAATTAAGTCTCTCACTGTTTCCATTGTTTCCCATCTATTTGTCATGAAATGATAGGACCAGATGCCATGATCTTAGTTTTCTGAATGTTGAGTTTTAAGTCAACTTCTTCACTCTCCTCTTTCACTTTCATCAAGAGGCTCTTTAGTTCTTCTTCACTTTATGCCATAAGGATGGTGTTATCTGCATATCTGAGGTTATTGATATTTCTCTTAGCAATCTTGATTCCAGCTTGTGTTTCATCCAGCCCAACATTTCACATGATGTACTCTCCATATAAGTTAAATAACCAGGGTGACAATATATAGCTTTGACATACTCCTTTCCCAATTTGGAACCAGTCTGTTGTTTCATGTCCAGTTCTAACTGGTGCTTCTTGACCTGCACACAGATTTCTCAGGAGGCAGGTCAGATGGTCTTGAAGAACGTTCCACAGTTTGTTGTGACTCACACAGTCAAAGGCTTTGGCATAGTCAATAAAGCAGCAGTAGATGTTTTTTTGGAACTCTCTTGCTTTTTCAATGATCCAGCGGATGTTGGCAATTTGATCTCTGGTTCCTCTGCCTTTTCTAAATCCAGCTGGAACATCTGTTAAGTTCACAGTTCACATACTGTTGAAGCCTGGCTTGGAGAACTTTGAGCATAACTTTGCTAGTGTGTGAGATGAGTGCTAAGATCATGACATCCGGTCCCATCACTTCATGGCAAATAGATGGGGAAACAGTGGAAACTGACTGACTTTATTTTGGGGGGCTCCAAAATCACTGCAGATGGTGATTGCAGCCATGAAATTAAAAGACGCTTACTCCTTGGAAGGAAAGTTATGACCAACCTAGATAGCATATTAAAAAGCAGAGACATTACTTTGCCAACAAATGCCCGTCTAGTCAAAGCTATGGTTTTTCCAGTGGTCATGTATGGATGTGAGAGTTGGACTATAAAGAAAACTGAGCACTGAAGAATTGATGCTTTTGAACTGTGGTGTTGGGGAAGACTCTCAAGAATCCCTTGGACTGCAAGGAGATCCAACCAGTCCATCCTAAAGGAGATCAGTCCTGAGTGTTCATTGGAAGGACTGATGTTGAAGCTGAAACTCCAATACTTTGGCCACCTGATGCGAAGAGCTGACTCACTGGAAAAGACCCTGATGCTGGGAAAGATTAAAGGCAGGAGGAGAAGGGGATGACAGAGGATGAGATGGTTGGATGGCATCACTGACTCGATGGACATGAGTTTGGGTAAACTCTGGGAGCTGGTGATGGACAGGGAGGCCTGGCATGCTGCAGTCCATAGGATCACAAAGAGTCGAACATGGCTGAGCAACTGAACTGAACTGAGATGAATGCAAGTGTGCAATAGTTTGAACATTCTTTGACATTGCCTTTCTTTGGGACTGGAATGAAAACTGATCTTTTCCAGTCCTGTGGCCACTGCTGAGTTTTCCAAATTTGCTGGCATATTGAATATAGCACTTTCACAGCATCATCTTTTAGGATTTGAAATAGCTCAACTGGAATTCTATCACCTCCACTAGCTTTGTTTGCAGTGATGCTTCCTAAGGTAATGATGCTTCCTATGGTGAAGTGATGCTTCTTAAGCATCACTTCCTAAGGTAGTGATGCTTCCCAAGGTAAAGTATGCTTCACCTGAAGTAGGTCACTAAAAGTCTAAGTTGAGGCTTATTAGCACAGATGATGCCTAATTAAAGTGAATAAGACAAACGGAATTGTGAAATATATATAAACCATTTCTGAAATTTCTTAGAGCAATTTACCTAGACTCTATGAGAATACATATTTACATACTCTATGGTAGCTACAAAATCTCAATTTTCCTGAAGTTATTTTTTTCTATCGCCACTGAGGATATGACATGTTTCAGAGAAATAAACTAGAGAATCGGGCATAGTTCACTTGCACCAGGCATCTGATTTAATACTATGGGGAAAATCTCACGAAAAAATACGAGGTTCTCTTGAAACATTAAGGATTCAGAAGAGAATATGCCCATTTCTCTTGATTTCTATATTTAAGCACAAACCAGTGGAGGAAATTTTCCTGCTTTAAGTGATTCAAACCAGCAGCAGGACGGCACTCTGGCTTGTAAATCAAGATGACAGTATCTTGATGCCAATGCCCCCGAGTTGTACTACAAGCTTGTGGCCCATTTTTGGCTTTAGTTTTCTGTCAAAAGAAACAACAGCAGTGGAACATTGAACATTCGAGAAAATCTTATTAAGGAGATTCCAGTCCAAGACAGTGACCTACACAACAAACCTACAGTTACATATGGAACAACTCCCTCTTGGGAATAAAACCTGAAGACTGGTTGGTTGAGCGGCGCCTACATTTCGGGAGGAGGAGACAAGGAGGAGAGAAGGAGCGGGTAGGACAGGTGCACACGGATCCCCACAAACCTCACCCCCCGAGGGGCAACTCACAGTCAGGAGGGAACTCACACCTTCAGCTTCTCCCTGAGGAGTGAAGGCTTTGAACCCCACATGAGGCACCTCTAACCTTCATGACCCACATCTCAGACATGAGCCTCCAAAACATCTAGCTTTGAACACCAAGGGGGCTCACCGCACCAGACCCACACTGCGGCCATCTGGGAAACAGCTCTGGAAGGCCGGCGCTGACTCACCCGCCAGTGCCCAGCGTGGAAGCCTCCTCCAGGGACGCCCAGCCTGTGCGGCAGAGGCTCTGCTGGTCCTGAAGCGTCGGCTCAGCGGCGGGCGTCTGATGTCACACACTCGGGAGCCAGAGCCGGCTGGGGCTCTCTCGGAGGGAGACCCGAAGGCGGCGTCTCTGTGCCCTCTTTCCAGGGCCGGAATCTCCCAGGAGGGACTTTTCCCACATCAGGCCCTAAGTTCCTGGGTGTCAGTTTGGTACTCAGTTTTACATCAGGTGCGTTCTTTGATATAGGTGCTGGGTTTTACACCAGGTCACCCAGCTGTATATTTCGTGCCCCATTATTATGTCAGGTGCCCAGTTTCAGGTACAATGTCAGCTTTTATGTCTGGTGCCCCGAGGTTTACATCAATTACCCCAGTCTCCTGTCAGGTTCCAGGTTCATGTCAGGTACCTAGCAACACACTACGTGTCATGGTTTTACATACGGTGCCCGGCTTTGCTTCAGGCGCCCAGGTTTACTCAGATATCCAGGTTCTACGACAGGTACCCGGGTTTTACGTCAGGCCCCCAGGTTTACATCAGGCACCCAGTTTTACCTCAGACGCCCAGGTATGTCAAACACCCAGTTTCTATGTCAGGCACCGTTTTACATCAGGTGCTCAGGTTTACGTTAGGTGCCCAGATGTACGTCAGGCGCCCAGTTTCTACGTCAGACGCCTGGTTCTAGTCAGGCACCCAGGTTTACGTCAGGCGCCCAGTTTTACATCAGGTGCCAGGGTTCTGCGTCAGGCACCCAGTTTTATGTCAGACGCCCAGTTTCTACGTCACAAGGCAGGGTTCTGCGTCAGGCGCCCACATCAGGTGCTGGGCTTCTACTCCAGGCGCCACATCCGGTGCCCTGGTTTACGTCAGGCGCCAGGTTTTTTCATGCGCCTAGTTTTTACATCAGGCACCCAGGTTTATATTAGCGTCCAGGTTCTACATTATGCACCGTATTTTTACATCAGGCGCTGGTCGTCTGATTTCTACATCAGGCGCCCAAGTTCTACATTAAGCCCCCGGTTTTTACGTCAGGTACCCAGGTTTAGGTCAGGTGCCTGGTTTTTATGTCAGGCGCCCAGGTTCTACAGGCACCGAGGTTTCCGTTAGGCGCCCAGGTTCTACCTTAGGCACCCAGTTTTAGCATCTGGTACCCCAGTTTTCCATGGGGAACCCGGTTTTAAGTCAGCTTTGGGGTTTTACATCTGATGCCCTGGAGTTTACATCAAGTGTCCCAGTTTTATATCTAGTCCCAGATTCATGTCAGGTACCCGATAATAAGTCAGGTGTCACGGTTTCACATCCAGTGCCTGGTTTAGTGTCAGATGACCCAGCTTTCTGTCTTGTACCCAATAATTTTTTTTTAAGTAAAGCTTTTATTATTTGCAGCTTATGAGAATATGTAGATTAACATATGTAGAACCTACATACAACATATGTAGAACCTAATACAAACTAATGGAATTAGTATATTATTTTAGCTAGGTAGGCCCCTGGATAGATCAATAAACAAAAATAAGATTTTCATATACCAACAAAAAAAATTTGCAAATGAGTTTTAAAGTGAATTCTATTGTACAGCATGAAAAAAATACTAAAGAGTCTCCCTTATTTGTGGAGGATGTGCTCTTCCCATGCCTGAACCTCAACCAACCTCCTTCCCATGCCTGAAACTGAGAATACTAGGCCTTGTGTATAAAGTTTTCCATATACATACATACCTGTGATAAAGTTTAACTTATAAATCAGTCCCAGAAAGAGATTAAAAACAATAACTAATAATAAAATAGAGCAGTTATAACACTATTGGAAAATTCAGCAGTGGCCACAGTACTAGAAAAGGTCAGTTTTCATTCCAATCCCAAAAAAAGGCAATGCCAAACAAAGTTCAAACTACCACACAATTGCACTCATCTCACATGCTAGTAAAGTAATGCTCAAAATTCTCCAAGCCAGGCTTCAGCAGTACATGAACCATGAACTTCCAGATGTTCCAGCTGGTTTTAGAAAAGGCAGAGGAACCAGAGATCAAATTGCCAACATCTGCTGGATCATCGAAAAAGCAAGAGAGTTCCAGAAAAACATCTATTTCTGCTTTATTGACTATGCCAAAGCCTTCGACTGTGTGGATAGCAATAAACTGTGGGAAATTCTGAAAGTGATGGGAATACCAGAACACCTTACCTGCCTCTTGAGAAACCTATATATAGATCAGGAAGCAACAGTTAGAACTGGACATGGAGCAACAGACTGGTTCCAAATAGGAAAAGGAGTACGTCAAGGCTGTATATTGTCACTAGCTGAAATTCCAATACTTTGGCCACCTGATGTGAAGAGCTGACTCATTGGAAAAGACCCTGATGCTGGGAAAGATTGAAGGCAGGAGGAGAAGTGGATGACAGAGGATGAGATGGTTGGATGGCATCACCGACTTGATGGACATGAGTTTGAGTAAACTCCAGCAGTTGGTGATGGACAGGGAGGCCTGGCGTGCTGCGGTTCATGGGGTCACAAAGAGTAGGATACAACTTGAGTGACTGAACTAAACTGAACACTATATTGTAATAAAAGTTATAAATGTGGTCTCTAAATATTTTATTGTACAAATTTATTGCCTTGTTCATCTTTTAACTAAGCACTTACCACACAATGGCTGTATCTTCTGAAGTCTGAAGTCCAACAGCTGAACTAGCACAAGTTTTTCCTTCTTTGCAATTTCATAGAGGGAACATTTGTTATTCCTAGATCTTAGCAACCTCAGCATATGATTTTTTTCCTTTATTATGTAAAGAACTTTCATCTTTTCACTTAAAGGAAGAACCTTATATATCTGAATTGCCAGCATCACTACTCTTGCACTTTGGGGCCATTATTAAGTAAAATAAGTGTTCCTAGTACACAAGCATTGTGATGCTATTGTAACTAAGCAGGACCTATGAGGCCTTCAGGTGAGAGACTCCTCCCCACAAGTCCTCAGCTTTGGTTCCTCTCTGAAGTACTTAGACAACAGTATCTGATGCACATTTTCCTGCATTGCTTTACAGATGCTAAAACCACCACCAAATGGAAGTTAGCTACTTGATGACCATAAGCACATAGACTCCCCAGACCTACTGGAGCCTCAGGATTGATCATGTTAATCCCTGTGACATTGCCCTCTTAGCTCACCATCAACCTGTCAGAGAACTGTGCCCTGAGACACTCCCACGCCTTGGGTCTTCTCTCCCACAACTTGTTTTTAAAAATGTCTCCCTGAAGCCCATCAGGGTGTTCAGGTGTTTTTGAGCATTAGCTATCCTGGACTCATTGGCTGGTGCCTTACAATAAACGCTGCCTTTTCCTTCACCACAATCTAGTACCAGTAGATTGGCTTTACTGCGCATGGGCCAGCAGACTCAAGTGTGGTACAGTAACACAGTGACAGTCAATTTGATAACCAAGATGGGTACTAAGTAAGGGGTGGGACAGAGCAGGAGGGCACAAAATTTCATCATGAGACTCAGAAAGGTGCCCAATTTAAAATTTATGAATTGCATATATCTGAAAATTTTCATTTAATATTTCAGACTCATTTGATGCTCTGGTTTTACATCCGGTGCTCTGGTTTTTGAGACTGCCTCCAAGGGGCACCTCTACATCACTTGACTCTGGTGGGGCCTTTGCTTTCAATCCCACAGGACTGTTTGTATTTGCATATTTTAAAATCTACTGCCTAAGCCTCTGGCTTCCAGTCAGCCTGAATCTAGGTTCTGACTGAGAGTCCCCCACTTTGGAATACTGACTGGTCTTGGTACAACCTCAACCACTGAAAGTGAAGTCGCTCAGTCATGTCTGACTCTTTGCAACCCCATGGACTACAGCTTACATTACCAGGCTCCTCTGTCCATGGCATTTTCCAGGCAAGGGTACTGGAGTGGATTTCCATTTCCACTAAGAGCCATTAAAAATAAAATAGGCTGGGCTTCGCTGGTGGCTCAGTGGTAAAGAAGCCACCTGCCAATACAGGAAACACGGGTCCCATCCCTGACCCAAGAATATCCCACATACCACAGAGCGACAAAGCCTGTGCACCGTAACGGTTAGGCCCACACTCCAGAGCCCACACACCCCAACTACTGAACCCTCACTTGCAACTTTTGAAGCCCACACACCCTGGAGCCTGCTTGCTGCAACCAGAGAAAAGTCCGAGCATCAACAAAGACCCAGTGCAGCCATAAATAAATTTTTTAAAAAATAGAGCTGATATGCAAGTTTTCTAAACCTTGGAACTTGACACTTTGGACTGGGTAATTCTCTGTTGGTGGCCAGAGGGGTTCTTGGGCATGGAGGGAGGATTTCCAGCATCCCTGACTTCTACATATTACGTGCCAGGGGTATGCCCCCCTTCAGTTGGGACTCAAGACATTGCCAAGTGTCCCAGAGGGAGAGAAAAATCGCTCCCAGTTGAGAACCACTGCAGTGGAGCCACTAGATGATACCTTTCAGCTCCAAATGTTTATAGTCAAAATGAAAGCAGAATACATCCATGGCTAATTCATTTCAATGTATGACCAAAACTACTGTAATGATGTAAAGTAATTAGCCTCCAACTAATAAAAATAAATGGAAAAAAAAATAAAAAATAAATAAATAATTACCTGTAATAATAAAAAAAAAAAAAAAGCAGAATACAGTACATAATGAGCCTGCCGAATCCTCCTAACCAACCTGTGTCATGGTAGGTATCATCCTCTTCTGTACCCAAATGTAAAGCTTGCAGAGCTGTTTGCCTCAATAACGTTCCACACCTGGACTGTAGGACTGAAAACTCCGACAGACCCTGTAAAATAGATGACAGGGTGTCCTGCACTATTAACACAGTTAAGAACCTCCGTGAATAGCGCTTCTAAGCTATTATCTGGAGAGAGACAGGAATGTTGAAGAGTTTCTCCACAGGAAAGCACTTATCTGCACAGTCATAAAAGATAACCCATTACCATGGCAGGAAATCAAAACTGCAATAAATTTCAAAAGAGAAACATGAGGAGGCAGGGGCATAAAGGACTAGTAGAAAATCTCAAGTGACAACATGCCCCATACAGAAACCAGAGGAGGGCAGTGCAGGCCATGACCACACTGTGTACAGAGTGCCCTGATGCTGGTGCTGAACAAGGAGACACTTAGAAAACTGATGCAAATGCATCCAGAGGGTCTAGACAATACTGCTTAGACAAGGCCTTCTCTCCATCATCCAAATCATGTTCAGATTAAGCTGAAAACATGACAAAGAAAACCTCTGTATTGAATTCTGGCCACTGAGAAAGTTCTATTTGGATGCTGTTAAATAGCTCATGAAATTAAAACTCACACCTGAACTAAAAGTCTCCATCTTCTTTTGTTTGTGCTAAAATTCTAAAGCACATCCCATAAAATATTTTAAGGCAAGAAACTTCAAAAACTCCAGGAAGTATGTTTAGTAAGCATAAGAAGAAATCACTGAGCTATAGATATTTATGGCAAGTAAAAATTGGCTTTTATTAGTTACTTTGTCTAAATAACACTCTTGTAAGCGCATTTTTAATAGGGAATTGACATGACTCTCTACTTATTATCATACAAGGTTCTCTCTTTTATTTCTCTGTTACATTAATACAATTTAAAGAAAAAGGGGAATCCTGAATTAAAAAAAAAAAAAGACTAATTGTTTTCCTTTGTTTCTCGCAAGAAT